TACAAGTATGCATATACAAACAAAACAAGCAAGTCCTAGGTTTAGGCTTGCATGGAGTTTTATAGGTAAGTACCCTCTTGAAGTTTAGTTGGCTTAAACTTGTCCTAGTAATAGTAACCGGGTTCTAAGAAGCTCAATATCACTGGATTGTTTCCTTGGTCATTGTTTCAGCTCAAGTCTCTTTAATGGCGACCAAAATATCCCAAGAAACCAAACCTCAATGAGTGTAGTATCGAGTATCTACCAACTTCGGACTGCACCAAAGTCGGTCATCTCACTACATCCTAAAAGGCCAATTTGGTCAAGTAAAGGTTCTAGAAGTTCATTAGTGCTTTATGACATCACTCAGCGGCCCCATATTCTCTTTGATTAACTCAAAGGCTAGCAGTACCTACAAATATGTCACACTAATGTAGCTATTGCTTAGACCATGTCGGTATACCACACACAGTTTCCACAACGTATTGCTACTTACCTATAATGTATCCCAAATCCGGGTAGAGGATTCAAACCCAAACATAGAACCATAATGTAAAGCATACAAATCAAGTAATGTAAGTAAATAAATGTGATCTAAACCCTAAGGTAACCCCACTTTTAGAATATTCCCCAGCAGATTCGCCAGTTCTGTGATGCGGTGGGAGAACTGACTTGAAGGTTTTGCGTTTGATCGCAAATATTGCGGTTAGCAAGAGTCGCCATCGACTTTTCTTTTACCCAAAAGGAAAGGTGAAAAAGCACAAGAAATACCTTTGAGATTGTTTCTTGAGTTCATGGGGTAGATTATGAAAAGGGAAGGTATTAGCACCCTTTTCATCCATGGTTTTCCATGGGCTCTTAGTTACTTGCTAGATCAGTTGCTTTTGTTTGAAATTGTGCTTGGTGTGGTTTTTTGAAAGTATTTTGTAAAAGAGGCCATTGTTTAGGCAATCTTTGTAATGATTCTTGTGAAGAAGTGAAAAACACAAGAAGGGGGGTTGAATTGTAAAACTGAAAATCAATTGCAATGAGCACGATATTTTTATCCTGGTTCGTTTGATCTCAAACTACTCCAGTCCACCCGTCAAGGTGATTTCGCCTCTCTCCAACGAGGTCTTAATCCACTATATTCAACTGAATATTACAATCTGCTTTAACAACTGCTAAAGCCTTCTTGATGCAAACCACAAACCGGTTTGTCAAGGAATCACTTTCTTAGAAAGAATAGAAGTCTAGGTGTGTGAATGTTTTCTACAAAACTATTTATCACAACTGTGATATTACACAACTTAAGCTTATTGAAACTAGATTGCTAAAGATAATTGAGTAATGAAATGTGGAGCCTTTTAGCAAACTGAGAATGAGAAGATGATGAATAGCTTTTAGGCGTGGAAATAGTTGTAGAGCATTAGCCAATTCAATCTTCATTGTCTTGTTTATATAGCACTGAAATTGTTGAACGTTGGAGAAATAATCTTGATTCAATGCCAATAACAAACTTTCCTTATTAAGCAGATCTTGTCTGGAATGATGCCGTTGGTAATAATTCGCCTTGAATGCACAGTACCGTTGCTACTTAAAGCATGTTCTGGCTTTGGCTCATTCTGACTCTGCTTAAGTACTGATGAACTGTTGTTGTCTTTATCAGAGTGTTGAGCGCATTTCTGTTCATCAAGCTTCAGCATACGCGTGAATTGTTCTTCTGATTCTGGTATTCTGATATAGCATCTTCTAATGCTGATGTTGATATCCAATATTCTGATGCTGATACCTATCAGAGTTTCTGCAAAACAGAAGGTAATATTTTAGGTAGCAAATAGTTCTTACATGAATCACATAATTAATATATCCTTTCATTTTGTTATCATCAAAACTTAAACTTAGGGTAGTAGATTCAAACTTTGTTCTAACATCTTGTTCGTAAGAATGTATACAAAGATGTTTGTCTTTTTGAAAATGTTTTCAAGTTTGTAAGATATTTTGAAATGTGTGTGTTTGTTTTGAAAATAGCAAGGATGTTTGTTTTAAATGGAGCAAGTAACCAAAAGTAATCTACCTACTCAAATGTCTTTCTTGTTCATTTTCCTTTCCTTTGATATTGTTGTCTTACCATTGATTTGGTAAGCAACCCTATCTTTGGATGTAAACGGGACGAGCATGGGTCATCGTATAGCCATGATTAGCAATGTTGCAAAGTATCTTAGCATTTTTTGAGGAACTAAGATCATTTTGTAAGGCAACTTTGAATAGCGTCATCGAGGGACTATGATCTTGTATTTGTTTGTTTTTGCTAAGACACCTCACATGCGTAATATGACCATTTTTGTACAAGGCAACCAAGTGGAGTAACCCTAAGGGTGTTTGTATGCAAGTGTTTCATTTTCATGCTTGATTTTTGTTAGAACAATATTTGAATCTACTACCCTATATTTAAGTTTTGATGATAACAAAGTGAAAAGATATAGTATTTATAAGTTTCATGAATGAACTATATGCTGCCTAAAATTATTATGTTCTGACTTGCAGATACTCTGATTGGTATAAGCAAGATCACGTCTTTTCAGCATCAGAATTTGATTTCATACACCAGCATCAGAAGTTGCTACATCAGAACGTCAAGATCAGATAATCAACTCACGTACATGCTGAAGCTTGATGAACAGAACTGCGCTCAAACACTCTGATACAGAAACACAATAGTTCATCAGCAGCGAAGCAGAATCAGAATGAGCCAAGCCAGAACTTGCGTTAAAGAAGCAACGGTACTGTGCATTGAAAGCTAATTAATTCCAACGGCCTCATTCCAGACAAGATCTGCTCAAAAAGGAAAGCTTGTTATTAGCATTGAATCAAGAATATTGCATTCAACGTTCATCTTTTCAAGTGCTATATAAACAAGGCTTTGAAGATTATAATGGCTAATGCTCTCCAACTCTCTACACTCACAAAGCTGAACCTTAATCTTCATTCTACCAGTTTTGCTAAACCACATACTCTGATATTCATTATTGTTTAGCAATCTAGTTTTCAAGCTTCATTTTGTGTATACATCACAGTTGTGATAAAGTTTTGTAGAAAACATTCACACACATTGTTTTATAACCTTGTAAGAAAGTGTTGCCTTGACAAACCGGGTTGTGGTTTGAATCAAGAAGGCTTTAGCAGTTGTTAAAGCAGTCTGTAATATTCAGTTGAATATAGTGAATTAAGACCTCGTTGGAGAGAGGCGAAATCACCTTGACGGGTGGACTGGAGTAGTTTGAGATCAAACGAACCAGGATAAAAATATCTTGTCAATTGCTTTAGATTTCAGTTTTACAATTCAACCCCCCCTTCTTGTGTTTTTCACCCCTTCAATTTTATCTTGGATTAGAGTTTTCTATTTGATTGATTTTATCTTTCCATACAAGCCCTAATTACTAGCATATTATATAAAAGCGATAAATTGTGAAATTTAAAGATTACTACGCTATTACAACACTTTGTGGGAGGGGGTATATAATTTATGAATGAGGATTGCAATAATATAAACCTAATTAATCTATTACAACTAAATTGAATTTGTACATATATTGGAATAAATAATGTACAAGATAAATTAAATATGCAAAGATGTATATAAATGCAAAAGAAGATTTTGTTTGATTTTTTTATATGAAAAAAGTTTTAACCTAACCCTAATAAATAAATCAAGATTAAACTCAAATTAATTAGGAAAATAAATTATTTTTAGAAAAGGTTTTTTATAAACCCTAATTCTAATTTATTAAAAAAAGGAATAAATTTCTTTGAAAAAAAAGTAAGTATTTTTTAAATTTTTTTTGTCTTGACAAATGATATATGGTATTTATGAGGTATTTTGGTCCTTTTGTATTAAAATAATATGTTTAATATATATATATATATATATATATATATATATATATATATATATATATATATATATATATATATATATATATATATATATATATATATATATATATATATATATATATATATATATATATATATATATATATATATATATATATATATATATATATATATATATATATATATATATATATATATATATATATATATATATATATATATATATATATATATATATATATATATATATATATCAAACTAATTATAATTTAATTTACAAGTTTATTAAACAAAGATAGTATATAACTTAAAATAAAAAAAATATTTTTTATGAGGAAATAAAATAAAATATAATTTTTTATCAATTTTATATTTTTATGATTTTTCTTATTAAGAAAATATTATTAGGAAAATAAAATGAAAACAAAATAAAATAAATAAATGATAATGGGCCAGGGATGCTGTAAGCAAATAGGAGGCAGGAGATTAGCAAAAACATAAGGTCCAATTTCTAGGAGGCAGCGCCAAGGCTCGAACCCGTGACCTAAAGCATTTTTGCGTGCTGCCTTACCACTGGGGTGGCTGTACATTCGTTCATATAAGCAAAGGCATAAATATGTATACTAAAACGCCCCCCTGAAGGCAACTTCATCTTCAACCTTGGGCCATGGCCGGACCACATGTAACTCTCTCATTTCTCCATGAAAATGGAAAGTCCAAACATGAAAATTATGGGGTTTCTTCCCACGAGTTCAAACATCTAACTTATGTAAACTAACAATCAAAGATCAGAGTTAATTTTGCTTGTCCTAATTTAAAACCTAATTTTTACAGAAAATTCAAATCCAAAATTCTCTATACACAATGAATATAAATGAAATCTATGAACATGGTTGGCTTTAGTGCACGGATATCTACATTTTGTTTTCACAAATCAAAACCAAAGGATGCTTGTATGAAGATATAGAAGTTTGAGTTTTTACCTCTTTCAATTGAGATCGTGAATGGAGTTTGAGCAAGTTTTGAGAAGGCATGAGGATCTGTTTAGCTTGCCTGGACCTCCCTGAGTGTATTCCAATCTTTACTTTGTTTGAAAGCTCCTGAATCTCCCTACTCAAGTCAACCTGCAAGCTTGAAATGTGAAAATGGAAGATGGAGAAGAAGGAGTTACAGTGAGGGGATAATGGCCTAGAACACTTAGATATGATGTATGTTAAGTGTTTAGGTGATTAAAATTCAAAATGCACGAGTGGTTTGTGAGATTGCTATGTAAGGTGCAAAACTGCAAGTTATGGCAGATTTTTAGCGATCGAGTGTTTGGGAGAGTTTCCGAGCTTTAGCAATCGTGTTCTAGGTTGTAATGTATTTGTGTATAAGTATAGAAAAGGTTTGACATCAAGCTTCCTCAAGATTTCTCAGTTCTAGCCTTTTGGCTCTATTGCTTGCTTTTGAAGAAAAGTGAGGGGACAAGTCTCTATGTGTTGTACAAGCATGGTCTGGTCTGGTAGAGACTTCAGGCAAGTTGCTTTTGGCTTATAGAGTTTGTGTGTGCAGAAAGAACAAGTGTAAAGCTCAAGGAGTTGACAATTGCAAAAGTTGTGTTTTATCAAAATGGAAATGACACCTTTGTGCCAAAAATGGAATTATTCTTGTACAATGCATTCAATGCTTGGCCTAAAGCTTCCAACATCTGTGAAATCATTTAATTATGGAGTGAGAAACAAGTTTGAGGCCTGTAAAGTAAGGATTATGCAGCCTAGGTTTGGATTTGAATTTTGGTTCATCATGAAATGGCTTGAAATCAAAGTGAGAAATTGCCAACTTCATCTCTTCGATTCTCCCTACTCAAGAATGATCTCAAGGAGTTCTTGGATATTTTGGAAAGTTTGCAATGTGCTCTACAACCCATCTTTGAAATGCTTTCAAATATTCCCTTTGGAACTATGTGGAAAATTGGCGTGAAGTTAGGTAAAAAATCTGCCTAATTAGGGCAAAATTTCACTAAGTTATTTTAGTTCATGAGCATGTATTCACAAAATTATATCTTGAGATCCAAGCATCTTTAGGAGAAATTGTGTGAAGAAAAGTTGTAGATTTCATGGAGATCTACAACTTTCATGTTAGAAGTTTCCTTTGAATCATCTTGCATCATGTGATAATTTGGCTCAAAGTTGAGAAAAAAAATAAGAAATTTTCTATACTTAGAAAATTTTCTAAGTTAGAATTTTTCAACTTTTCAATACCAAAACTTAAACCCTTGATTTCTTGATTAAAAAATTTCACATTTTGACATGTTTTAATGAATTATGATCTTTGACACTTGAACTTGACCAAAAAGTCAAAGTTTGACTTTTCAGTGTACAGTTGACTTTTGATCAGTTGACTGAAAAATTCATCTGTCAATCCAATGGATTTGCAATATTTTGAATCATGTCATTAGGTCAAGATGTTGCAATTGAACTCTTGAGGTCATGCCTTAAACTAATTGACCATTTGCTAAGTCAAAAATCAAAAATTGCCCTTTTTCAGTCAAAACCCTAATTTTGACCATTTTGATGATTTGATCAAATTTCTTGAGGAATTGTAATCCAAACTTGACCAAATGATACATATGGGTTTAAAATATTGATGTGGATAAAAAACTTGGCCATGGTTGACTTTTTCCCCAATACAGTTGATTTTTAGGTCAACTGTCCAATTGACTGATCAAAAATGTGATTCAAAGCTTGAAACTTGACACGAGTAATCTTGGGGGTCCATAATGTTCTTTGAAAGTCATATGAAGCATTGATAGTCCAAAAATCGTTGTGCAAACCCAAACCCTAATTTTGGTCATCAGTGCATGAGGAGGTGTCTTGAGCTGATCAAATCCTAATGCAGTCTTGAGTCCAAGAGATCTTATGAGTTAATTCTTGATAAGTGAGAGGGAAAATTTTGGAGTACAACAGGTAACATGAGATTTTTGACGATAATATTATACACACTTTTTCTTTAAGGACCATTCATACAACTTTCTCTTTTCCCTCAAATCCACAGTTCATTCATTACCATGATATGGCAATCGTCCCTTACACTCCACCTGCAACCCAAAGATAAAACCTCCCTAACTTTCCATAAACTTCTCCACATAAAACTAGAATTATATCCAATACTAAAGAGATTCTAGAGTTATACCGAGTTGTGATCCTCTCTATTTCTTTAAAGAAATAAAGAGTACTATTACTATATTAAAATATGTAACATATATTTTATATACTTTGATTTTTATATAATAAAAATATTAATAATAACGTTCTCTATTTCTTTAAAGAAATCGAGTGAATCTTAACTCGATTGTACCTAGCTTAAAGTGAAATTGGATGGTTAAAAAAACTATAACTAATTTTTGAATAAAAATAAAAAAGAAAACCTATAATTTATTATTATTTTTATCACACTTTTCATCATTCAATCAATTCAATATATTATCATTTCCATCCACTTCAATCAAGGGTACATATGTCAATGCATACATTTCTCTATATAATTCAACTCATCTACTCTCCTCTTGTTTACACACACTTTCCACTTTGACTGTACTCAAATCACGCTTGCTCCCTCTCCTCAACTACCTCCTTTTCTCTCACTCTCTCCCTCTCTCCCTCCCCCTCTCTCTCTCTCCTCAATCCCTTCCCTTGTAAGTTCTTCCTTTCTTTCCACCAAATCTATGCCATGTTTCATATAAAATCTCTTTATTTCTCTTGTTTTCGTTTTTCAAATTTCTGTTAAAACCTCTTTATCCTTGGTAAATTTCATTTTTTTGCATCTGAATCTAATTTATTGCGAGACCCAGATGCGAAATTTGTTTCCTTTGAAAATTTTCAATGATCCTGTAATTTTTAGGTTTTTTTAATTTATTTTTACAATTTTTGATGTAAGATTTTCTGAAAAAAATATTATTTTTGTCCTAAATTTAAATGTATAACCTAGATTTGAAATGAACCCCAGTTGTTTCCTTGTTTAGAAACTTTTTTTTTTGCAATTAGATTCAAGTGAAAAAGGAGTAAAAAGTTCATTTTTTTAGTACTTTTTTTCTTCTTTATTTGGTGTAATATGAACTGAATTAGAAGCGGTTAATCTTTAGAAATTTCTAGATCTTTGATATTGAGTTTTGATTGCAGGATCATTGAAGGGGTAGTTGTGGTGGCTTAATCTTTTTGTGGATAAGGATAAAACAGCATGCGGTGGTGGTTTAGTTTATCTATTGATGTTTATCGCAAAGTTATTTCTTTGAATCTCTATTGCAAAGTTATACTCTAGGTTTTGAATTTTCAACCTTTTGATTAACCCTTTCAAAATTCTCATATTTTGATACCTTATTAATTACCTCAATGGGATCCAATTTCTTTGTTGTTGTTCCTTGTTATGTTCGCCAGATCAGCTGAAAATTTAGCTACACCGATTTGTTATAACCCTTTTGTGTTGTGAGTTCTTTTTAAGTTCTGTTTCAACTGGTTAAGTGGTTAAGGGAGTGTTGAGATTTTAGTGAATCAATTTGTTGTATTTGGAAATTGGAACATTTGGGTTATTCTATATTTGAAGGGTTGGAAAGTAGTTATGGTGTGCCAAGCAGCTGGTCAAACCAAATTTCGGGCTTTGAAACATGAAAATGGAACGGCAGGGTGCGCAACCATCATAGTTAGAGTTATAGCATGCTTTCAACCTCTCAGAGAATGCCAGGTTTGTGATGCTCAAATCATTTGATGAAAATTGGTCTTATTTTGGTTTGGTAATGTTTGTAATGTTTTCTATTGTTCTCATCAAATGATTGTTTTTGAATGTTTTGCAGGCTGAATATTTCCGTCAGTTACTCAAACCTGTAACGTAATTGTTTAGTTTTCCTTTGCTCTTTTTGGGTTAATCCGGTGGTTTTTGTTGTTTTAATCATTGTTGGTATAAGAGAAACCAATTGTAAAAGATAGCTCTTGGTGTTTGAATCAGTTTTTCGTAAGGTATATATTTATTGCTTTTGTCATAGTTCTCATTCTTTCATTGAAATGTGTTAATCTATAACATTGTTTAAAAATTGTGCAGGTGATTGTTGAGGTTGAATGGGAGAGAATTGCGGAACCTGGACGCATCAGGTGCAATTTAGTCAATCACCCAATTTGAATTCTTTCTGTGCTCCCTTTGATATGGGGAAGCAAAATGCTGCTGCTGCAGCGATGAACCCGGGTGTCGATATGAATATGAATTCAAGGAATGAGGCGGTACCGCCAGCTTATGCATCCTCTGCATTACCTTATATGCAGTCAGGACATTTAAATGAACCCCATGGTTGGTTTTACTGTTTGCCTCGCTTTCGACAGGGTTTTACGTGTCCTCCGAACCTCATTTCTGAGGATAAACTCCCTAATGGTAGTCATTTGAAGGGTTTTAAGGAGGAAACTACACAGAATCGGGAATCGGGCTTTCCTCAGAAACAGTTTCTTGTCATTGATCAAACCGGTGATCAGACAACTCTCATTTATAGTTCGAGATTCGGGAGACCTGTCGAGTGCCTTGGTTCATGGGATTCCAAATTTCATGGTTGTAACAATTTGAATGCGAATAATGAACCTTCTTTAAGAAGAGATGTAAATCATGTCGTTGGAGTTGAACCAACTTTTGATTATAAAGTTGATGAAAATGAGAATCAAGGAACCGAGATTGAAAGCGAGATGCACGAAGACACGGAGGAGATCAATGCATTGCTTTATTCTGACAGTGACGGTTATTCTACTGAGGATGATGAAGTTACCAGCACAGGACATTCACCCAGTACAACGACCACTCATGACAACCAGGATCCTTATGGAATTGGAGGAATTGCTGAAGAAGTTGCTAGCTCCTCCCCTGGTAAGACAAAGAAACGTAAGCTTTTCGATGTGGCTTATGACGATGTGCAGTTTATGGATACTGCAAATTCTCTAAAACGGAACCAGCCCTGTGACCTGAATCAGAACAATGCCGATGATAATGATGCAGAATCAAGATGCTCTGGTAGCAATTATGGTCAAGGGTCTGGTGAAATGGGTTCTTTAGCATGCACCAAGAAGATGAGAAAGGAAAAGATTCAAAATGTTCTAAGCATTTTGCAGTGCATAGTACCTAACGGGAAGGATAAGAACCCAATCCAGCTTCTGGATGATGCGATACGTTGCTTGAATTCTTTGAAACTCAAAGCTAGAGCTCTCGGCCTCAATGCCTTGTAAACTATTTCAAGAATATCAAGCCATCTATCTACATTACTACTTATTACTTATATGTTCATGTTTTAGCAGAATAAACAAGATGTGTTCATCTTGCATCAGAAGAAGTATTCAGCAAAAGTTCTCAAGTGTGGCGCATCGGCGAGCCTGAAACTGTTAATTCTACACTCAGTTGTTAATCTGAAACACAAAATTCAGCTGTTCTTTTAATGCAACTTGTTTGTAAATTATAAGCACAATAAAGGAAAAAAAAGGAATGATCAAAGTCCTTATCTTAGGGGTTAGAGAAAGTAGCACTAACGCAATAGCATGGGATATGAGCTGTTTTTGAATGAGAAAAACAAGAGTGCACGCCTCTTGGCTGTTATGGGACCCAAGTTCACACTCCCTCTTTTTGTATCCTTGTCATGTTGAATCCTTTTGTGGGTTTACTTTTTCCCCTCATGTGTGCAATTTATTATCACTACCTAAGGCTATTAAGCACCACCACCACCCTTTTGTGAGATGAAGACTGAGACAGACAACTTTGTGTTGATGATGAGGGGGACCCTTCATGGTGCAGTTATGTAAAAACACTGATTTTTTGTTTTTATTTTTTATCTTGTATGTTTTTTGTTTAGTGTGTACTTATGATATATTGATTGAATGTAATTTAATGTGGTTGGTGTTATTGTTGTCTTTTTGCTAATGTATTTATATCGCATGCACGCATTTATTATTATATCAGAAAATGATGTACTACTATTGGTGAAATATTTTGTTACATATTTTATAATTTACTTACTTTAGATGATGTGGTGAAAAGTTGTATCTTGTGCTAGATGGTGTGGTGATAAAGACATAAAGGGACCACAACCACAACGTTGAATTATTAGTGTGGAACACACATACATATGACATTTGTGTAGAGAGAGAGAGAGAAGAATGGGCGTGGTTGTGGTGAGTAGTCAATAGTCATGGTAGGTATCAAATAAAAGAGAGAATCTTGAACAGTGTTTTCATGAATTGAAACTATTGAGATTTTATGTATACAGTGTATGGAAAAGGGAAGCATGCCATAGTTTGATCAGAAGCTTGTTGCTAGTTGTTTGTTAGTATAGTGTGCATGCTTGATTTCTTCTCTCTTTTGGGTGGATTACAGAAATAGTGGACTTAGCATTTTTAATAAATTAAAAATATATATTTCAAAAATGATTTTTTATAAAAAATATTTAAAATTGATTTATTACTTTAATATGTTTTAAAATTTTATTATCTAAAGAAAGTTATATAAAATGGTAGAATTTAAAATTTTTTTTTTTATGAAAAGCTATTTCAATCAATTAATCATATAAAGTTTTTAAAAAAATTTCCCAAATAAAATACTTTAAAATGTATTTACTCAGATTTGACTCTTCTTCTAAAAATCCGACAAAGTACTATAGATTTTTCATTGACTTTCGTAAGAAATGAAACTCTCTCACCTAACCTTCTACAAGATTCAAGCAAATCTTTTTAAAAAAAAAATAATACTCCACAGTAACAAAATCCTAAAAATATTTATAAAAAAAAGTAATTTTCTTTTTTCTTTTCATGAATAAAACAAGAAGTCCTTTGCAAGACGTGGTTTGTCTAAAACTTAATATACATATAGCTTATGAATCTCAATTTCCTAAGAAGATATGGCGTGCTGCAAATGTTAACATAATGAAGCCATTTGCAAGTATAACACTTAAAGAATCAAATAAAATTCTCTATCAAACATGACGATTGAAAGCATTTATTTAGCAACAAAAATCAAGTAGTCGTCACTTAACACATTCTTGTATTCTGATTCTCCATCTATATCGCTTTCTCTATTTATTTTATATTACTAGTTTGTTCGCCACTAGTGGAATTTCATGACCTATAATATTATTTACAACCTTGCGTGTGCTCACATGAAAATGAAATATACTTAATACTATTTTTACTTTATTATCAAACATGACGAATGAAAGCATTTATATATATATATATATATATATATATATATATATATATATATATATATATATATATATATATATATATCCCAAGTTTTTCATTGTCTATTGTGGACATGTACGAATATATAAATTTTAAGGTTTTGATTTAATATCTCATTTCTTTTTATTATGTACAATTGTGAAAAGAAAAAAAGAACACATTCATGATTTGGTGGGAGTGGGGTTAATAACAAATTGTTAGTTGGCTCTTGGAAGTAAGCTTGTGAACTAAAGTCAAACTACAAAGAGCAATAAATTATAGCACTTTTAAATTTGAGTATACACATTTGTATAAATATTGTATTTGGAAATTTTCTGTTTTTTAAACAATTTTTCATTAATAAAACGATACATTTTTTTAAAAACAAATTTCAAGATACAAATACGGTTAGAAAACTTAAATATATATATATTTTTAAATAACGAAAATTCAACTTTTAAAAATAATCAAAAACAAATGACAATGACCTATTTCTTGCCCCAATTTTTTATTTATTATATTATTATATCACGTTATGAGAAATAAAAAGAGATATCATTGATATTAAAAAATATATTTGTAATATCTAAAAAATATAGTTGTCTAAAATTTAATATTTGTTAAATTGTAATTCAGTGTGTCGAAATTAAGTGTCGAAAAGATTTGATTTATTTTAGATTTAAATAGATTTGATTTAAGTCTAGAATAGATTTGATTTGATTTAGTAACAAAATAGATATTTTGGGCTTTGAGCTTAAGGTGTAAGCTCAATTATAAATAGAGGGAATAACTCCTATTTTTTGTAAGCAAGTCAAGCAAGTCATTCACAGTATTTTGCAGTTGTAAAGTGAATAATAAAGTTCTCACAGTTTGTGAGCAGAGAGAAATTCTGCAGAAATTATTTGTCTTGTCTTCTTTCTTTGTTCGTTCTCATAATTCATTGTCATTGTGGTAGAAATTCATCATAGACTTTGGTGAGTTTCCAACATCTGGTATCAAGAGCTTTTGTTTCGATTCAAGGGAAGTGTCAATCAAGAACGATTGAAGAATTCATAATGACAAGTTATGGGAATGCAAACTATCCAGCAACGCTACCAATTCTGAAAATTGACAACTATGAGAATTGGTGCAAATAGATGAAAGTCTTATTCAGGTGTCAAGGTCTTTGAGACCTTGTAAAAGATGGAGTCGAAGCGCTTGGAGAAAACGCTTAAGAAGGAGAAAAGAAGAAATACACAGAATCTGAGAACCTGAGTTATAAAGCATTATTTATAATTTATCAATGTGTCAGCCCAGACAATTTCGAAAAGGTTAGTGATTCAGAATCGGCAAAAGAAACTTGGGAAATTCATGAGAAGTCTTTTGGAGGCGCTGAGAAGGTGAAAGAAGTGAGGTTACAAACTCACAAAAGGACGTATGAACTGCTTCAGATGGAAGACAGTGAAAGTATATCTGATCTCTTCACTAGAGTACAAAACTAGTAAATCAAATCAAGATATGTGGAGAAACGTTAACAACAAGAGCTGTTGTTTCAAAGATCTTGAGATCTTTAGCTCCTAAGTTCGACCACATATTGGTGGCGATAAAAGAGGGGAAAGACTTGTCGAAATTGACAAAGAAAGAGCTTTAAGGGACGCTTGAATCTCATGAACAAAGAATGAATGAAAGAGCTGCAGGAAAATCAAAGAGTGATGTGGCCTTGCAGGCACATTCGGCAAAAGAAACCAAAGGCAAAGGAAAGTGTTTCGACAGAGGTAGAGGTGGCTATAACAAATTGAATGGTAGAGGAAACCAAATCGAAGGAAACATGTCGAATCAAAGAAGACTATACCAAGGCAACCAAATAGGTGGTGTTGCAAATAGAGGAAGAGGCGGTGGTCGAAAATCTGATAAGAGCCACGTTCAATGTTACAATTGTCAGAAGTATGGATACTATTCGAGTGATTGTCCAGAAAAACGAAAGAATCAAGAAAGTGATGCAAAGCTTGTAAAACATGAAGAAGAAGAGATGATGCTGATGGTCACAACAAAAGATGAAGATAAATTCAAGGACCAATGGTACTTGGACTCAGGATGCTCATCACATATGTCTGGAAGGAAAGAATGGTTTGTCAATATAAATGCCTCAATGAAAAATATGGTAAAACTTGCAAATGACAATACCCTAGCAGCTGAAGGTATTGGTGATGTTATGATTATGCGGAAAGATGGCAAAAGGTCAGTAATCTCCAATGTGTTGTACATACCAGACATAAAGAGCAATTTGCTCAGTATATGGCAGTTGGTCGAAAAGAACTATAAAGTGTCAATCGAAGATAAGATGATGAGAGTCGTTGATGCAAATGGGAGATTAATCTTGAAGACTCCTATGTCTCAGAATAGAACCTTCAAGATTGAACTAAATGTGATGGAGCACAAGTGCCTTTCGACTGTAGCTAGCAGAGATGAATGGATATGGCATTATAGACTAGGCCATCTCCACTTCAGAGACATCAAAGACTTGAAGAGAAAAAAATATGGTTTCAGGATTGCCTGAAATTGACATTCCAAATGAAGTATGTGAGGAATGTGTGCAGGCGAAGCAACACAAGAATAGCTTCAGCAAGGATGCAGGAAGCAGATCGAAGGCTATTCTTGAAGTCATATACTCTGATGTTTGTGGACCAATTCAGGTGGATTCGATGGGATGTAACAAATGCTTTGTTACATTCATAGATGATTTCAGCCGAAAGTTATGGACTTATCTGATCAAGAAGAAAAGTGAAGTGATCGAAGTATTTTCCAAGTTTAAGTCTATGGTCAAAAGACAAAGTGATCGAAAGCTCAAAGTTTTGAGAACTAATGGTGGTGGAGAATATGTGTCGAAAGATTTCAACAGGCTATGTGAAAAGGAAGGGATTGTGCATGAGGTGGTGCCACCCTATACTCCACAACAAAATGGAATTGCAGAAAGGAAGAATCGAACCATCATGAATATGGTGAGAAGTATGTTGAAAGACAAGAATTTACCTAAAGAG